CGCCATGGCAAAATATAAATAAAACAACAATAATTGTAACTTGCAAAATTATATATATATACATATATATATATATATATATACATATATATATATATATATATATATATATAACAGGTGCAGAGTTTAGGCAAAACTAGGCAGCCTCTTAGGAACTTGGGGACCCAAGTAACTCCTTACAGTTGTAATTATAGTTAATTATAGTTATTAGACAGAAGAGGAAACATTGAGATAAAGACAACAAGGGAAAGGGACAGGCTGGGAAAAAAGTCAAGGACAAAAGGGTAAGAAATACAAAGACTAAGAAAAATACAGGCAGAGAAAAAGAAGAAAGGAAGAAGGCATAGATGAGCTATGATTAGCTTTACTTCATACAGATGCTCATAAACCAGTCCTCATGCGCATCCTTAAAGTGTAACATGCGCGAATAGAGTGCCATGGAGCCCCAATATATCACACATGAGAGCTTGTCCCTTCTCTGCATGCATGTGGACCTATTTCTGCTTCCACCTATCAACTTTTGTCACTTTGAAGGCGTTACCCACTGGACAAAGCAACATGCCTGTGATTGGCTACTTTTCATGAAATCCCGCACCTTGTTTTGTGGCCTATTGTCAAGGTAACCAGCTTAAACTGTTTTCCCGTTTCTGCCGGGCTGTTTGACTGAAACTTTTCAGGTGTCCTATAACACTTTCAATGGAGAACCTACAGTCAGTCTGAATCGAGTATTCACCCAGACCACTGTATTTTTAATGATGACTTTGCTGACCAACTTTCAACTCTTGATGAGAAGCAGTTAGGCTGAAGTTGCTTTGCCAGCAGGATGAAGAGTACAGCCTCAGGAGGCAGGATTTTCTGAAATGTAGCCAATCACATACATAAGTAGGTAACTGCTAATGTGACAAAAGTTTACATCAGCCCACAAAAACAGGTCCACACATGAGTTAGAGAGAATCTATAGGTGCATAAAAAGCTAACTACAAGTGCAAAAAATGAGCATGCATTCATGGTTGTGATACATGCTTGGCCTCATAGTGTTAAATGTGCACTCCTAGAACAGTTAAAATCTGCATTTATTGTAGTCTTCAGACATGTGTAAATAAAACTGCTCATATAAGTATTTATTTCAAGAGTAGATTTTTGGCAGAATTCTGATACCTTCTCTTCTTAGAGGGCCCCATGCCTGCTTTTGCCTTGGGCCTCAAATTTCTTATATATCCACCACTGCATATTGATGTACAAACACACATACTTTCCTCTTGTTGCCATTCCTAGTAAAGTCTAGTAAACAATGGTTGGTACTTTCTGACAGCAGCCCATGTGCTTGTATGACACCGCTTTGAGCAGGAAACTGGTTAGAGGTAATGCTTTGCATTCCCCACTGGATGTCTCTCAACCCCATCCTTTATTGGACTACTCTGGCAATGCACTAAGAAAAGCCATGCAGTAGCAAATTTCCAGTATGAGCCACTGTCTCTGTAACTGAAAACCTTAAGCAGTAATTATATTTAATGTAAATTTGTCTAAGCTTAGATATAATTACTCTCAAGTAGGACGTATGTAAAACTAAGAAGTTTAAACCTTACCGAAAGTGGTTGTTTTAATCAGAAATTTAATTGTTTATTTCAACTGACATTGTAGAATTGCGCTGCTTAAGGTGGCTGCACTTTGGAGTAGCTTTGCTAGCTTGACTCTGATATTCTATTTTATGAAAACTTTAGTTTCTCTGTTTTTGAATCAGGGTTTCTTTTTTCTCATGGTGTTTGCTTCTATTGTTGAATGCTGTAAAACCAGAGGTATTTTTACTAATATTTTTTACTTTTTGGAAACTTGTTATGATGGGTAACCACAGCAACCATAGAAAGCTGAATTTTTTATACCCTGGAGCAGCTAATTAACATCTCTAAAGCTAAAATAATACATCAAATACTTCTGCAAGTACCAGAGAGGAAGAAGAAATTTAAGCCATCTCTTCCACATTGGCAATGTGAGATTTTAAGGAAACAAGTTAGAAGAACTCCAAGCCCAAGTAGAACCCTGCCAGAATATCGGCAATACAGAATTACTGTATGTGTTTTACTGAAACATGGCTGTAGAATCATATCTAGCGTCTCTCTCTGCCAGGCTTTCTGACCTTACGAGCAGACAGATTTAAAAAAGACTGGAAAATACAAAGGAGGTGGGTTGGCGGTGCTTGTGAACAACAGACGGTGTCATCCAGGACATATTAATGTTAAGATTTGTCATTGCAACCAAGATACTGAACAGTTGGCAGTTGGATTATAATTTTCCAGGGTTTACCAATTTTCTGCTGATAACTGTTTAGATTCCACCTTCTGTCATTGCTGATACTGCATGTGAGTTAATCAATAGCTTTGCTGCTAAGCTACAGACAACAGCCGAATCATTTTAATCTCTGCTACACTGCCAATGTTCCAGTAGTTGGTCCGCTGTTCTACCAGATAGAACAAAAATTTGGACTTGTTTTATCCAAATGTCAAGAACTCCTGCATCTTCTCTTGGAAAATCACAGTCTTGTTTTTCTCTGCTAAGAGTATAAGCCACTTTATGAGAGAAAACCTGCTTTTAAAAGAACTGTTAGAAGATGGTCACAGGAAGCTGAGGAAGCC